TCTCTCTCGCCTTTTTTTGGAGACAGGGTCTTGCTGTGCAATTCAGGCTGACCTTGAGCTCACTTTGTAACACAGGCTGGTCCCAAACTAACAACAATCCTCCTGCCTCAGCCTCCTGAGTGCTAAGATTATAGGCATGCACCACCATGCCTGGCCACTTTTTCTAAATTTTAAGGAAACTATGTTTGAGTTGTTCCTGCACTACACAATACACTGTGTGTGTATATAACATACACTCACTGAGTCTTCATAATAAACCTGGGTAATAAAATGAAAGGTGCAGAAGCTAGGTGAGTTCTGAAACTTTTCAAAGTAATACAGTAAATGCTAACAATCTAATCCACAGTATTGTTATCTTCCTGCACAATTCCTAAAGTGCATTTTATGTCATTATTTCCACTGGTGAAATCTAGAGGCCCCCCCGACTGTTCCTACAATGAACTGTCAAAGCATTTTTCTAGGCGAGAAAAGAAATATATATAGAATAAGTTCTGAAAAACTAGTACTTAGTGGGGTGTAGTGGTGCATGCCTATAATCCCAGCACTTGGGAGGCTGAGGCAGGAAGACTGCTGTAAGTTCAAGGCCACCCTGGGCTACATAGTGAGTTCAATGCCAGCCTGCACTATACAGCAAGACTCCGTCTCAAAAACAAAACAAAACAAACCTACTAATTAGAGAAGAGTCTCTGGGGGGAAAAAAAAAAACAAAGTATGGCTTCACAGAAATAGTGAAGATTTACGGACATAAAACATTTCATAAGATTCCTATGAGATGTCACTAAAAGGGAAAATAGAGGCATTAAAAATGGCAGCAACATAACATTTTTTCATATACCAGAGATTTTCTTTGTAGAAAAAAAGAATCTAATGACTGTCAGAAAGCCTACCAGTTCTTACATCTGTCCAAATACATGTGATCTAAGGGGAATGAGATCAAATATCTGGTAAGAAATTATTTTGGATTGCTGAAATGGATATATAAGGTATGAGAAAACATTAGGTATATTTAAATTTTTTTAAAAAATGTATTACAGTAAAAGACACACTGTCTTTAATACATGTCCCTCAGATACTCTTGCTCACTTTGCACACACTTACCACATCGTTTTTTGCCACTTTCTGAAGCAGTTCTGGGGTGTCTTTACTTGCACTGTCATGGCTGCCTTGATGTTCAAATCAATTCAATTTCCTAGTAACTCTGACTTTGGGAAAGAGCCAGGCGTCTTACAGTACCAGATCTGGTGAATAAGGTGGATAAAGACACATTCATGTTTTTATGAGCCTGCCTTTCCACTGGCTGGCCCTGGGCAGCAGCATCTACTGTATTTTTTTTTTTTTTTTTATCATATCCAGTGAAGACACTCATGAAAGAGGACTTCCAGAACTGCTTCAGACAGTGGCAATAATGATGTGTGTTCGAAGTGAGGGGAGTATTTTGAGGGGGATTAACAGCAATGTAGGCAGGCATGGTGTCACACACCTGTAATACCAGCACTCGAGAGGCTGAGGAGGAGGTTAGTTGTGAGTTCGAGGCCAGCCTGGGCTAGAAAGTGAGGTCAAGGCCAGCCTGAACTGCATAGTGAGACTCTGTCTCAAAAAGACAAAAATAAAAACCAAAAAATGTCCCTTTTACTGTAATACATGTAAAAAAACATTTATCGCAAGTGCATGTGTCTGTATTACACCTGCCTGGAGGTCACCTACACTGTCTGGCCCACACTCTCTTCCTTAGTGCCTAGCACAGTACCTGTCACATAGTTTACACTCAGAATCTGTTGGATGAATTAATGAAGAGAGGAAGGAAAATATTTTCCATGCCCTTGATTATTTTTCTTCACTTCTCAGCATCCCAAAGGGTAATAATGTACATATTTCTGATCTACCTAAAGAATAGTTTGAGTGACTTCCAGAGCTCCTTTTTTGAATTCAAGAAACATGAATGTAATAACTTGCCCTAGCAGGGGATTGAATAATAGTTTTAAATGCCATTTTGTAAAATCTTCTGAAAGACATTTTGGAAAAAATGTTCCATAGTCGTTCTACTTTGGGCAATCACTAATCATCAGAAATTTGGGAGTTTTGACAACTATTCTATAAGGAAGAAAATGATACTCACCTTTTTAAGAAAACAAAACAAAAAAACGCTTAGATGCTGAAAGGTGAATAAGAGGAACCATGAAATAAAAGTATATTATCCAAAGAATATATTTTACTTTCAAATCCATACTGTGTTTATATTTTAACCAGAACGTGCAGTTTGCCTTTATCTGCAGCTGTAAACAACATAGGTAGTATGAGGGCACTTCCTACGTTTTGATCTGAGTTGAGGCAGTATGGAGATAACATGACTATGGAAGCCCGACGACAGCCTGCTCTGGGGAGCCTGCAGCGTGGAAGTGTTGTGGCTCCTACAGCTCAACAGAAGGTGTAGGCTGACGAGATAGGTTGCCATGGGAAACTACAGGTCATGAGGCGTTGACTATGTTTTATCATAGTGTGCTGCTTTTCAGGCCTAAAGGTCCACTGAGGGTCAAGTGGGGGCTGCGGTCTGCACAGCCGCCAAACTGCATCCCCCTGCGGCGCTGCAGCCACGGGCACAGAGACCAGTCTGTGAGCAACGAGGAGCTGAAGCTGTGGTCTCCAAATGTCCTAGATCACACGTCCCTATCATTAAAATGCAAAACTAGACAAAAAGCTAACAAAAACGTTGGAGTGACCACTGTGCATACTGTATGCATATTTCTCCATAAATTAAATTTTAACCATAAAACATGGAGTTGAAAGTTTAAAAGATGAAGAAAAACAACAGTTCTTATATTTTCTTCTTGAACCTCACTTAGCGGCAGAGCAGCTCTGTGTTACTGGAAGACCAAATCTCCTCCCGTCATCTGCAGCAGCAGGGATGGAACTGGAGGCACACGATGTTAAGTGAAATAGGCCAACCACAGAAAGACGAACACCATGTGTCCTCACTCATCGTAGAAGCTAAAAACTGGTCACCCAGAAGTGAAGAGTAGAACAGTGGTCACTAGAGGGTAGGAAGGCAAGAGGCTAGCTTATAGGTACCACCATACGGGTGGGGAATTCGTTCTAATGTTCATAGTACGGTAGGTAACTAGAGCATACAACAATTTACTTTATGTTTCAAAATAACTAGAAGAGACTGGAGGTTTCTACAGCCTAGAAACAATAATATTTGATTAGATTAAAATGTTAATTCCCTTGACCTGATCATTATACTTTGTATACATGTAGTAATTATACTGTTCCCCATATATAAGTACAAATATATATGTGCATATATACAAATTTATATATATATATATAAATAAAATATATACATATTGTCATATATATGTATATAGTACACACATATATATGACAGTTTAAAAGAGAAAACTAAGCTGGTGGCACACACGTGTCATCCCAGCTCTGTGGAAGGCTCAAGGGGGAGCATTGCAAGTTTAAGCCCAGCCTGGGTAATTTCTGACTTAGACCTCCATCTTTTTTAGAAAAAAAGCTGGAGGTTTAGTTCAGGTGAGGGCCCTGGGTTCAACCCCCAGCACTGAAAGAAAAATGGAAAATATTTAAAAAGGAAAAGGAGAAGAGGGGTTCAATTTTTTTTTTTACTTTCTAGATTTGATTGTAAAAGAGATGAACTATACATAGTAAATTGCTAGGTTAATTGCTCTGTTAGGATAATGATCTAAAGCCTATCACTTCCCAGCTGGACATGGTGGTACACACCTGTAATCCCAGCATTCAGGAGGCTGAGGCAGGAAGATCTCTGCAAATTTGAGGCCATCCTAGGCTACATAGTTCAAGACCACCCTGAACTATGTAGCAAGACCCTGTCTCCCCCCAAAAAAGCTTATCACTTCCTAAAAAGTAATGCAGTTAGGAAAATGATTAATGTATGAAGAGAAAATACTGTAATTTTAAGCCATCTTAAAAATATCAAGATAGAATACCATTCTACCTAGATTTTATTGATGTCCTGTGTCTCTTTAGAATCTCATGTTTCCAGTTATCTGCTATTGGCAGATCTATTTGGGAATATTGATTTTGGCTTTAAAACAGTGGTGAGAACAGAGGCTGCTTCAGAGCTACACACGGAGAACCCACCATAGAATACACGGTGGAAAAAAAAGAAAAGAATGCATAGAAACTCCGAAGACTAAATGGGACCAACAACTGTGGGAGGCTTACCACTCCCTCAGAGTGATCGAGGGGGACTGCTAAGCAGGTATCACGCGCAGCGCTGTAATGTCTTAGGTACAGAAATAACTCCACATGGAAGGAGGCCTTGATGTTTCTTTTGTAATTAGCAGACCTTACCCTTCTGTAATAAGTTGCTCATTCCTGTCTCTATGGCTTCTTTAACAATGCTCTCTCTGGATGGCCTTTGTCTGTCTGCCAGCACGTTCTCTGTTTTTTATCATTTAGTTTAAGATTGTAATCCCAAGGCAGCCTTAATCATTTTCTCCAAATGATTAGTGCACTGCTTTGCACAGTAGTAATTACAATAACATGTAGTAATTACAATAACTTGCTTTTTTATGTACGTTGGGATTTGGAGTCTTCTTACATTTCCTTATGTATGTTGCTTTTCCCAGAGAAAGTATGAATTTCTCAAGGGAAACATAATACTGTATTTTCACTTTCTTTGTTTACTCCCTAAGGCCTCGTATGGTCCGGGGCAGGCACAGCTCTTGAAAGCCTTAGGCTTGCTCTACCTAAGGCTCGTTCTTCCTTGGGTCTGCAAAGCTTGCAGCTCCCACCGTGTCCGGGAGGAGAGCCTGGTGCTGTGCGCTGTCACGCCCAGCAGGTCACACAGCAGCCGAGTGTGTGGTGCTCCCTCAGCAGCCGCTCAGCCCCCGCGTAAGTCAGTCTTCTGTTCCCTGCATCAGCTCAGCGAGCAGTAATGCCACCCTTGTCCTGTTCTTGTTCACCACCCCCTAGCTTTCTCCTTGCCCAATCTAAAACATTCCAAGATCTCCTCTCACCTTCTCTTAGCGATTCCCCTTCCTTTAGACATCAACAATAACTATTTGCAGAGAAAATTCAGGCTCAAAAATTTATCTCTGGCCGGGCATGGTAGCACACAGCAGTAATCCCAGCACTTAGGAGGCTGAGGCAGAAGGATCGCCACAAGTTCAAGGCCCACCTGGGCTATGTAGGAAGTTTGAGGCCAGCCTGGACTACATGACGAGACCCTGTCTCAACATCACCACCCCTGCAAATTCATCTTTGTCTGTTAAGGTTAGGTACTGTGACCATTACCAACTGAAATAAAAAGTTTTAGAAAGACAAAGTATGGGGCAGTTTGATAGCCAATAAAACGAACCATCTTCTTACCTAAAAAAATAAAAATAAGGAGCATATGCTCTCCTAAATGAAAGCTGTAACTAAAAATATCTCACTGAAATTTGAATTTTGTGCATTTGTCTGGACATAGCGTGGAACAGCTCCCAACACTGGCCCCTTCTCAGCGCAGCTCTGTGGAGAGAAGCAGCCCTATGCACAGGCATCTGTGGTGTGGCGTGAATGACCAGTATCCTACGAAAGACCCACAGAGAGGCTAGGTACCCTTGGAGAACTGAGGAGAGCCCCCATGTCGTCTGCTGTGTTCCGTGATCTCAGATGAGAAACCCAGCCGAGAAGGACATACTTAGGGCAAGTATTATTTTCTCAGTGCCCGGCAATGCCAGGAAGGGGCCACATCCGGGGGCCAGTACGTGAGGTCATCTGTCTGGAGTCAAGCATGACTTCTGTGCAGATAGATGCCAGGTGAATTCATTACGGCTGACAAAGTCTCAAGGAAACAAAGTTTATATCATCATTTTTATGACTGTGTAACAGAGACCAAAGAAATCAGCTGTCACCCATCACCATAGAGCACCTCCACTTCCAGAGAATATGGACTTACTTCAGGGGACAGCACGCTACCATGTTTAAGTTTCTCATCCACACTGTTTCTTCGTCTCTGGAGTTGATCCTTTTCTTTCTGAAGGGCTTGGACTTGTTCTGAAATCTTCATTCTTTCCTCAGCTGTGCTGCTCTGGAGCTGCACACTCTTTTCAGACAACTCTTGGTCCAGTATGTTCAGGCGAGTTGATATTCTAAAGCTGTCTGTGTTTAATGCCTGAAAAGACACAAGCCACCAGACACCCCCAAATAAAAATCCAACTGCTTGCAAGTTAGGAAGACACAGAGAAAATTACTAAATATAACGAAGTTTTACCTTTTACATAATTATTTTCTTGGATGGACCTTTTAGGGTCAATATATACAATCTTAAATTACTCATTTTTTTTAGAAAGTATAGACTCATGCTATGAATTTATTACCAAGAATAGTTTGGCTAAGTTTGTTTCTGTTTTGGTTTTTTTTTTGTTGGGGGCGGTTTCCTGGTACTGGGAATTAAACTCACGACCTTGCGCTTGCCAGGCAGGTGCTGTGCCGCTGAGCTAAATCCTCAGCCCCTAGCTTGGCTAGGTTTGAAAGGTAATATTTTTATTTCTTTTTTTCTAAATTGAACTTTTCTTCTTTGGCCTGTTATAAGGTTAGAGTTTCCTACAGGCTGAGACTTGGTGAGTTTAAACATATTTTGTTTCTATTCTTGGTTCACTCTAGTAAGAAAATGCAGATGAATCTGGTCAGGTTTATGGACATGCTTATTACAGTTTAGGATAATTTATTAAAAAAAATTCTTTTGGTGCTAGGGACTGAACCAGGGCCTTGAACATGCCAGGAAAGCACTCTTCCGTTGAGATACATCCTTTTTTTTTTTGTCTTTTTGAGACGGGGTCTTGCTTTGCAGTTAAAGCTGGCCTTGAGCTCACTTTGTAGCCCAGGCTGGCCTCGAACTCACAATGATCCTCCTGCGTCAGCCTCCCCAGTGCTGGAATTGCAAGTGTGCACCACCATACCAGGCTTCCTATGTCTTTTTAAAATTTTACTTTGAGACAGTCTCACTAAGTTGCCCAGGTTAGCCTTAGACTTGCAGTCTTCCTGCCTTAGCCTCCAGAATAGCAAAGCAAAGGAAACAACAGAGTAAAGAGCTGCCTATACGTGTTAGTTACTTTTCTCTCATTGCTGAGACAAAATACCCAACAGTGAAAATTAAGGAAGGAAAGGTTTATTTAGCTCAGAGTTTGTGGAGGTTTCAGTCCATAATCAGCTGGTGCCAAGGCAGAGTGGCACATGGCAGAGGGCTACACTTCAAGGCAGCAGGAGACAGTAAAAGCAATGAGAGCAAAAAGGGAGGAGCAGCAAGAGCAAGCCTCTTTCCCTCCCTTATATTGTATACAAGCTACCGCCCCAGGGCGGGTAGAGCCCTCACACCCATAATCCCAGCACTGGACTGTGAATCAATCAAAAACTCTAGAAGCCTGCCCTATGAGGCTTTAGGGGGACATCTAGATACAAACCATAATGTAAAATATATAATATATACTTACATATAATCATATATGTGTGATTTATAATATATGTGTATATTATCATAAAGTTCATAATTTTAAAAAAGCAATCCTCCCCCTCAAACTTTTACCTGAATACATCTCCCCAGAAACAGCTTCCTGCAACCTTTTTAGCTGTTTCTTCTGGTATGTATGTCCAGGTCTCTAAATAACTTTGTTAAATCAGGAGTTGTCTGTTATCTGCATATAACAACAATAAGGGGTTAGCGCTCAGACCTCCCCTTCTTCCCAACCTGTCAATGCTATATTACAGCTTTTAGTTAAATCAGTATTTACCTAATTATGACTTTGTATTATTCATTGAGCTGAACTAGCATATTTCCATTTGATTTTTTGCACCCTATCACTAACTTTCCTTCAATAAAACGATAAAATTCCTTCCATACTTTCTTGATCAAACTTATCAGGAAATAATCTGTTCCTCTCTGGAAACATTCTGGCCAGAGCCTCCATCCTTCTGCTCTGAACAGGAATGGTTATCCTGAGACTTTCCTTGGGAATGTCCTAGGAATTTCTGTGTGGATCACACTTTTCAGAATCCTGATTCTTTCTCTTCCGTAGTTTATAGTTTTTTCTTTTTTTATGGTACTGGGAATTGAACACAGGGTCTTGGCACTGAAGTAATGTCTAACCTGTTTTATTTTTTATTTTCAGACAGTGTCTCATTAAATTGCCCAAGTGGAGCTCCAACTTGCAGTCTGCCTGCCTCAGCCTCCCAAATTGCTGGGATCACAAGGTCTGTGCTTTTATTTCGTGAAGCACATCCTCTGGTAGTTCCCTGAGATGGCTTGATATGAGAGTTATTTTTTAACGGCAGTATTCTGCCTTCACAATAATTAAGAGTTGCCTAATAGAATGAAATAACTTTTTCCTGAATTTAAAGATTGCTTTGGTCATTTAAATTCCAAAGACAGTTCAGAAACCCAATGTCTCTGATTCTTGAGACTGACAAGTGACCAACCTTTCCCCAAATACAGTGGAACCTTCACCATGTGCTTGGGCACTCATTCACGGGGCCCTTGCTGAGCTATTTCAATCTGAGCCACGCATCCTCAGTGTTGGGATCATTTATTATATTACCTCTTTTCTGTCTTTTTTGTGGTAACTTTTCAGAATTTCTATTGAGTGTTGGACTTCCTAGATTTATCTGCCATTTAAAACATTTCCCTCTGTTTTCTAGTGATTTATCTCGTTACTTTCTGGTGTATTTCCTCAACTTTATCTCTACACCCTATAATTCCCATAGTTATTTCCTGCTTGTTTTATGGATAGAGTGATATCTTTTGCCATACTGATTTTTAAAAGATTTTTTTAGCTTCCTCATCTGTCCTTAATTGTTCTGAGTTCCTTTGTTCCTTTTGTTTTGGTGCCATCTCTTTCTAATTGGGGGCACTTAAGAATCAGGTATTAAGAAGCTGAGAAGATGTGGTGATAAGATACATGCAGAAGCCGGGCGTGGTGGTGCACATCAGTAATCCCAGCGCTGGGGGGAAGTGGGCGCTGAGGCAGGAGGATCACCGAGTTCAAGGCCAACTTGGGCTACACATAAGCGAGTTCAAGGCCAACTTGAACTGTATAGTGAGACCCTATTTCAAACAAGGTACACGCAGGATTCTAAAGGCGTTTTAGGCTTTTTTTTTGAGGGCCGATTTCAGAAGATCCGCTGCTGGGAAGTAAGAATCTGGCCACCACAATTTGGTCTGGCTTATTTCATTTAACATGTGTTTTCAGGTTTGCCCATATTGTAGCAGGTATCAGTGTTCCATTACTCTCTATTGCCAAATAATACTCTCTTGTATGAATGTGAGTGTGTTCATCCATTCATCAATTAACTAATGCTTGTGATTTTATTTTTTAGCAATCACAAATAATATTACTATGAACATTCATGTTCAAGTTTTTGTATGGACATATGCCTTTATTTCTCTTGGATATATACCTAGGATTGGAATTGTTGGGTCACATACTATTGCTTATGTTTAACCTGTGAGGAACTCCAAGGTGGTTATCCAAAGCAACTGTACCATTTTACAATCCCACCAGCAATAGGTGAAGGTTCCACTTTCTCCACCTCTTCACCAACACTTCTTATTATTTGTTTTTCTGATTACAGCTACCCTAATGAGTGTGAACTTGTACCTTATTTAACTTTTGATTGTATTATCATCGTGGCTAATGATGTTGTGCATCTTTTTATGTGGTTACTGGCCTTTGCAGAAATTGGCCTTTTCACGTGTGTTATGTTTTATATCTAGATGTTCCCCAAAGCTTCATGTGCTCATAGGTGGGCTTTTGGGAGGTGACTGGATCATGGAGGCATAGGATAGCTAAATGTGCTGCTGGAAGGTGAAGCCTCATTAGAAGAGGTGGTCACTGTGGGGGTGTGGCCTGGAAGGCTGTATCTCCCTCCTTCCTCCTTTGATCTCTCTGCTTCCTGCCTGCCATACCATGCGCTTTTTTTCCTCTGCAATGCCACTCTGCCTTGGAGCCAGCCAACTGTGGACTGAAACCCCCATAAACTGTGAGCTAAATAAACCTTTCCATTAACTTGTGAGTGTTGGGTATTTTGTCCCAGCAACAAGAAAGTAAAAGACTGCTTATCTGCTTTAGAGAAATGTCTTTTCAGATCCTTTGCCAATTTTTAAGTAAGTTGTCTTTCTATTATTGAGTTGTAAGAGTTCTTTATATATTTTCAGTCCCTTATCAGATACATGATTTTCAAACACTTCCCTCATTCTATAAGTTGTACTTTGTTGCCAGTGTCCTTTGCATCACAAATTTTAAATTTTTGATAGTATATCTGTTGTCACAAAAATGTATGCCTATGTGTTCCTTTAAGAGGTTTATTATTTTTGCTTTACATGTACATGTACATGTACGTTAAGCTATATTTGTGTACAATGTGCATATATTCCTTTTCTGTCACTTTACTGGGATAATGTGCATGTGGTCAGTCCATCATGTTCCATATAATCAAGTCTTATATTTCTTCTTTTTTTTTTTTTTGTTTTTCTCCGGTACCGGGAACCGAACTCATGACCTTGCGCTTGCCAGGCAGGCGCTTTGTCGCTGAGCTAAATCCTCAGCCCCAAGTCTTGTATTTCTGAAACACTGACAAAGATATAATCTTTTTATGCTTTCTGTTCAGGAAAGAGCCAGCAGGGTAACAGCCTTAAGTTTCTCTTCTGTTTCTTTAACATGTTCCCTCCAGCTTGAACCACTATTGGTACATGTGTGACTGTCACTTTGGTGGCTTGTACTACTAATGGAACAAACAGGTCTAATCACTGTTATTGGTCTTTTAATGAGACGGTCATTGCACATGTACCTTCAGTGGTTCAAGCTGCCTGTTATGGTCCCATTGGGAACATGGTAAAACAATTTTCAAAAAATCAGCTTTGCATTGCTTTATTGTGGTTTTCATTTATTTGCACTCCCTACTTACCTCAGTATGTTCTTGCTTACAAAACACAAATTATCTGTTTTTCTTTTTCTGTACCATAAAATTAACTTATTTCAGGGAAAACATTTTCCTTCTCATTCTTCTCTTAGTTTCCTCTTCTTTTCTTACACAGAACATATTATAACATGTCCTTAACGTAACTTTTCCTCACTTGCTATTTGTTAATCTCTGGCTATCATTTACATGAATATATTTACAACTTGGCCCTGTCAGTAAGTTTTAGCAAGTTACATACCTGGATGTAACACCAGCAGGTAGGCTGGTAAAGGGGCCACCGTCATACCCAGTGTCCAGTGCTGGCCGTGAAAGCTATTTCAGTGTGGACTCAAATGGAGCACAGGTAAGTACAGCTCACCATCACTGTGTACTTGCTGTGTCAGTGTGGAGAGGTTGAGAACACACCACCATCAACTCTAGTCCTACTGGTCTAGATGCTAACTGAAAGCCACGTCTAATAGATCAGGCAGGCTGCTGTCCTGTGTTCTATAATTCAGTGTGCAGACCGACCCTGGGCCTACGGCTGTCGAAGATAAGGTAATAGGTACATAACTTGCAAGTCTGGTCAAGCCAGCCTTATTTTTATATGCTGCTGTTTGTGGTCCCTTCTATTTCTTCCACAATCATTCCTTTCTCAAAAGTTGGGACTGAGATAAACTCCACTGCAAAACTACTTTCGCTCACTCATAAAGTATAAATCCTCCTGGAATAACTTTTGTAAAGGTATCAAGTCTTTATAATTAAAAAAAAAGGTAAGTTTTCATTATAAAAAGAGTGAGGAAATAGTGGTTATGAATGTAATCAATGCTACTGAATTGTATACCTAAAAATAGCTAAAATGGGACTGGGGGTTTTGCTCAGGTAGGGCTCTTTCCTGGCATGTGTAAGGCCCTGGCTTCAACCTCCAGTACGATATAAAACACACAGACAGAAAACAGGTAAATTTTACGTTCTGTATATTTTGGCAAAATAAAAAGTTAATAGTAAATCATACTTGGATGAATATTTAACATTTCACTTCAAAATTCCAATAGATTTTGGTGATGGTGATTACATAGGTAAAATTAAGCAAAGTACACGGAGAACAAGAATAGTTCTCCCTTGGTTTTCAGCTTGGCAGTGATATGATCTACCTCTTAAAAGAAAGAAGTCCTGGGACCAGAATCAAATAGCAAATGAGAAAGGGTACCTGACTGGCTCTCAGCCTCTTACTTTCCAGCCAGCGCTTTTCCTGGAGCAGGGCCTCCTTCTTAGACAGGATGGCCTCCCGCTTCCTCAAGTCTTCTTCCAGCTCCTCTAATTCTTGGCGCTGGTTCAGAACTTTCTCTACTTCTTCATCCAACCATTTCTTTTGCTCATCCAATTTCTACATTAAAATCCCAAAGGAAAAATAAAAATAAATACAATTCCAAAGAAATGTTACCATTCGTTTTTGTTTCTGCCATAAAAGTTATATGGTAGCAATGTAATTTCAAATGGATTGAAAACTGGGATGAACACTTAATAGTGAGAGTGACTCCTGTTCCTGTCTGGAGCCCTAAGGAGGTGGTGAATATGCTGTTATTGTTTTCTAGGAAATTAAAGCTCATTCCCTAGAGACATTAAAGAGTGTGGAGAAGTGGGGCCTGGCAAAGACAAGGCTGATGATTTTCTTTATAGACGCTGTACTAGGAATGCCTAGGCTCCCCTCCCACTGCAGAGGTGTGCGCCTCCACCACAACACTAGACCCCTCCTCACGTCTCCCCTGCCCTGAGCTGCTTGATCGACTGTTCTCACCCCTGTCCACTGCACTTGGTGTCTAACCTGACCCACAGCTGGCACCCATTAAAATATCAAAGGAATATTTAAGTAAATATGTAAGTAAATACCTTATTCAAGCAATAAATAAATGGAATGAAAAATTAATACAGGAAAACATACAGATGATAGAGGATGGAAAAAAACCAATCTATAGTAGACCTTGTCAACTCCAAATATTAATAAGTAAAAGAGCTGGAAAGATACTCCACACAATAATTAAAGGAAGTTCATATCCAGAGAAATAAAAATACAGCACATTTCTGGATGAGAAAATAAATATTTTAATAGCAGATATTTCAGAAGAAATAATAGAAATTTAGCACACAGGTGGCAAAAAGTCTAGTGTTTAAAGATTTTATTCCGTCTACCACTTTTTACCTCTACTTAGACAGTCCTCAAAAGTGGAAAGGAACCAAAAACACTAAACAAAATCCACAAACCTGGAGTTGGTTTTTACTTCCAAAAGGTTCTTTCTTTGTTTCCAAGTTACATGTATCAAGATCCTCAGCCTTCATTTTCAGGCCTTCTTTCTGTCCTGCTTTTAATTGTAGTTCCTATAGAAAAAAAAATTAAAACTCTTTATCCATTTACTACCTGGCCATCATTAAATATGCAGATGATAACTTCTTTCTTTCTTTTTCTTTTTCTTTTCTTTTTTTCTCTTTTTTGAGACAGGGTCTCACTATGTAGTTCAGGCTGGCCTTGAATTCACTTTGTAGCCCAGGCTTGCTTCAAACTCACAACGATCCTCCTGCCTCAGCTTCCCAAGTGCTGGGATTATAGGCATGCACCACCATGCCCAGCAACCCTCCCGCTGTTTTTTTCAGTGCTGGGGCTTGAATCTGGGGCTTTGTACTTGCTAAGTGCACATTCTGTCACTGAGCTGTAGCCTGTAGCATTTATATTATTAGTTGCAAAAATAGAGAAAAATAAGTCGATTACCATTGGGGCTATTTGAAAAGAAAATACTTTTAGCTTTCACTGGGGCAAAAAAATGTAACTGCAAAAACAATCAGGATTTACTAACTAAATAGGTTTTTCTTCATTCTTTGTGTTACAAATTAGCATAACAGGGGTAAGAGCCTAAAACTTACAAATGATTTTTCTCCTTTCTCTGAGCGCATGACCTTCATGATTAGTCCACCCAAGACAGCCATCTGCCATGGGTATATTAGAAACTCAGTAGAAATGCAAAACAGAGATTAATATGTATGGTTCTGGTACTAAAAATGGAATCTGTGGCATAAGAACAGCACAGTGAGGCATCATGGTCCTGTGAAAAGTGCTTTCCAAACCCCTTTAGTTTTCACCAAGTCTCTCTCGGGTTTAGAGAAGATGCTGCTCCCACCACCACCACCGATTGGCAGGAATCAGGAAAGAGACCCTGGACTGAAGTGGTTCCGTTCACATCTGTTACTGGTCCACAATCGCCAAGTACAGAACTGAAAGTGTTTAGATACTTTCATAGCAATTTAACAGGATAATTTTGTCTCTACTGACTGCAGTACTTTTAAACATGGACTTTTATTTGCATATTTTAATTTCATTTTTCTACTACTCTGTGTTTTATAAGACTACTGGGCTGTGACAAATTTGTAATGAAATGAAAACTATACTTTCTCCAATAGGAAATTGCAGACGAACTCACAGAAAGAAAGTAAAAGGAAAGACTAGCACTTTCCTGTCCTGGGAATGGCGGAAAGACAAGACAGTAATAAAAGTCTGTGTCCCAGTTGTCCTCTCTCTGAGTTTTGGCCCAGAAAGAGGGTGACTGGCAAAGGTTATCAGTGAGGAAAAAAGGGGCCTTCACTCACCTGGGAGAATGAACACACACTACAGTGCAGAGACCACCTTGCTCAGGGGACTCCCAGTCACACTGGAAGAACGGAGAGGTTCCTTAGGCAAGAGGAGAGTTGGACTCCTTAGTTGTGCCATGGATCCTGAGGCCAGTGGAGGCAGCCATTGTGGGAAACAGACCACAAAACTTGGGGTAAGGGCAAGCCACTGGGCCAGCAAGCTAGACAGAAGATTTAGTAGCCTCAACGTGGGTTTACAAGGCCAGAGGGAGATGGGATAAAACCAAAGCACTCCTGTGCTCTAAACTGGAAGCCAGACCAGCCCAAGTTATTCAAGCTTGGGCTTCAGCGATCAGGAGCCCTGGCCAGATGACCCAGGGAGAGCGGATTCCAGCCAGTCACAGCCTCTATGGGGTGCAAGGGAAAAGCCTGTGCCCAGCCACTCAAGACACCTGATGCCATCCTGAGAAGGGCAAAGTGCAGGGAGAGAGGCTAAGAGACTGAGCACTGTTACTTACGAGACCTAAGAATTATTAAAAGGCAATGTTTACATTTTAAGAATAAGGTAAGAATAGACAGGGCTTTTGGTTGGTTCCCTCTGTATTCCCAGCACTGTAATTACTGTAACTTGGATAGTGGTGGTGGTAGGAGGTGCTCTCAAAGAAAGGTCTGCTTCAGACTAAATAAATTTTCTATTCCAATCTGAATTGCTCTGTGGATGTTTCTGTTATAGTTCAAGCAACTTCAGGACGCTGAAAGAAAGCTTCTTAAGTGGAGGCAACTTATACTTGAGGCTGAATTCCTACTATTCTCATTCATCCACATGCAATGTAGAAGTATGCTGCAATGGGTCTAACTCTCTTTTCCATGTGTTGCTCTAGGCATTACTGCCTTTTTCTTATATTGTAATTCCTGTTAAAGTATCAAAATAAATGTGTACCAAGCACTGTGTTAGACTTCTTAACTCTATTTAATCATCACATCTACTCTTCACAATATGCTACAAGACAGGGACTATTACAGACTCCACTTTGGAAGAGGAACTAAATGGTGTGTGTGTGTGTGTGTGTGTGAGAGAGAGAGAGAGAGAGAGAGAGAGAGAGAGAGAGAGAGAGGGGTTCTGGTGACCAAACCCAGGGCCTTATGCATGCTCAGTGAGCCTCTACATTGAGCTACAGTCCCAGCCCTCAGGGAATGGATGCTTTAGAGAAGTTAAAAACCCAGCATCATACAACTGCCCACAGTTCTTTTTGTTTGTTTTGTTTTTTGAAACAGGGTCTCACTATGGAGTTCAGGTGGGCCTTGAACTCACTATGGAGCCCAGGCTGGCCCCAAACTCTGCTGACCTTCCTTCCTCAACCTCCCCAGTGCTGGGATTAGAGGGTGTGTGCCACCATGCTCACCAACCTGCAGTTCTTTAAACTTATCTGTAGACATTTGTTAGGAACTGCTGTTTTAAAGAGAACCTATGTAGAAGTCTTAGTTTTCCCTGGAAATTGTTTAGCCAAATAGAAAATGGACAACCTGGAGTGTTAGAATTAGCTCCAAACATCAAGATGTCCTTTAGGACTATAAGCAGGTTTTTCCATCTTTGCATAAGAAGTAAAAATACTCATATATCTTTGGGGCACTCTGCTCTTTTTTGTGGAATACCTGCTATACTCCATAAACCTGGCCATTTCTCTAGAATAAGAGATATGGCTAGAAGGAACAAAACTGCCCTAGGTAAGAACATAAAAAGCTTGCATTACTGGTAGAGTTGCATTTCAGTAGCTACGCACCCTGAACAAGAGTTTTTCTTTTCCCTAAGCATAGAGTGATACGTCTTACTGGTTTAGGCCATATCTCATAAGAGATGAAGACCCAAATCCCAAATTCACAAGACTGACAGGCAGACATGCTTCTCACACAGGAGGAAGGGCTTTAATAAGGAGACATGATTGTTGTCAGTAGAAATGAAAGTTGAACAAATTCAGGATATTTGGTGGATATAATCTATAGGACTTAGTGGTTCATTTGGCATGAATAAAATGGAAGCAAAGTGGTGTCTCCTACGTTGCTCATTCACCCAACTGAGTGGATCACTATGTCACATAAGGTACACTGGAGAACCACAGCTTGTCCCCCATGAAGACATCAGGGAGGGGAAGAATGGGGAGTTTGGAAGATTGTAAATTTATTTAAAGACAACTTAGTGAAGTTGTAGGTGGAAATCAAAAGACAGATCTGGGATTAAGGATTTAATTTGAGAATATCAGAAAAAGATGAGGTCACCTAAAACGGCGTAGAAGGTAAGAGGGCAGAGGCCATACTTGGAGGACTGACAGGAAAAGATGAGCCAGCAAAGACAGGTAAGAGCAGTGAGAGGGGGGTGGCGGGGAAGGGGGCAGAATGTCACAAAGGCAAAGAGGAAAGAAAATATTTCAAAGTGGAGGAAGTAGTGATCGGGGCTGGCTGCAATTGTGTGGCTAGAGAAAGACTCTATACTGAAATAGCAGTATTACACTGTCCCCCATAAATGCGTACAATTATGCATCTGTTAAAATTTTTTTTAAATAAGGATTTGGGTGGCTTTGAGGGCACCACTAAACTTCATAAGAGCTTTGAAGTAGAACAGAAGCCAGACTAAAGAGCACAAGAGAATGAAAGGAAGTGGAAGAAACAGAAACAAATGTAGTCAACTTTGCCAAGGACTTCGGTGATGAAGGGAAGATGAGGCAGTAAATAGTTAGAGGAGAGAATAAAGTGGAAGGGGGTAAGTTTAAGGTGATAAAAATCTAAAATGTTTAAAGACAATATAGGAGAAAAGGAAAAGTAAAAAATATATGAGAAAAGAGTATTAAGTATGGCACATACCTGTTCAGTACTGTCAGAATATAAATAATAAATATTACTATTACTTAAAATAAGTCATTCCCATTATTAAGAATAAGTAGCTCATAGAATTTAAGAAAGCAAATTCCACTTACAGTATCATCTAAAAGAATAAGTTAATCTGGGAATAAATGTAAACAAGGAAGTAAAAGATTAGTACACTGAAAAGTTGAAAGAACTGCAGAAAAAAAATTAATATCTAAGTAAGTGGAAAGGTCATAGGCAGGAAGACAGCATTGTCATGATATCAATATATTCAGAAATCTACACTGAATGCAATCCCCATCAAAATTTCAATAGCCTTTTTTGCAGAAATGGAAAAAATGATCCTCAAATTCATATGTAATGTTAAGGTCCTTGAACAATGAAAACAATCTTGGAAAAGTAGAGCAAAATTGCCAGGCATGGTGGCACACACCTATAATCCCTGCACTAGGGAGGCTGAGGCAGGAGATCTGTGAGTTGGAGACATTCCACCTATTTGAAACAAGCCAGGCAGGATGGTGCACTCCTGTAATCCCAGCAGAAGCTGAGGAAGGAGGATTCCCTCAAATTCAAGGCCAGCCTGGGCTCCACAATGAGTTCAAGATCAGCCTGAACTACATAGAAACACCCTGTCTCAATCCCCCCATTTAAATTTAAATAAATAAATAAAACAGCAACAAAAGCAAAGTTGGAGGGTTTACTTCCTGATTTTAAAACTATAAAGCTACAGTAATCAAAATAGTGTGGTGCTGCTACGAGGATAGAGATAAGCCAATGGAACAGAATTGAAAGTTCAGAAATTTGGCTTAGTTTTTTTGGTTTTTTTTTTTTTGATACTGGGAATTGAACTCAGGACCTTGAATTTGCCAAGCAAGGTGCTGTGCCACTGAGCTATATCTCCAGCCCAGTTCAGAAATTATGTATCTATACCAAATTGATTTTTTAAAGATTTAAAATTATGCACAGATGGGCATGGTGGTATATGAGTATAAGCCTAGCAACTTGGGAGGCTGAGGTAAGTAGGATAGCAAGTTTCAGGCCAGCACAGGCAACTGAGTGAGACCTTATCTCATAATAAAAAATAAAAGGGGTTGGAAATATAACTCAGTTTTAGAGTAGCACTGGGTTTGATCCCTGGTACGACAATAAACAAACAAACATATATAAAGTATACCAGATGATGTTTTAATATACATATACTTATGAAATGATTGCTACAGCCAAGGTTATCAACATATCCAGCTGCTTACATACTACTATATTGGTTTTTGAGCACTTCAAATCCAAGTGCCCACTGATAGATAAATGGATAAAATGTGCTATAGTCACACAATAGTTTACTTTTTTTTAATGTGTTCTGACTCATATATCACCCATACTGGCCTCAAATTGTCAGGCTCATGAGATCCTCCTTCCTCAGCCTCCTGAGTACCACTGTTTCCACTTTTACAATGGGATATTATTTAGCTATAAAAGGCAATGAAGTTCTGATACTTGGTACACTTACATGGCTTATCTAGAAAAAGCAAATCCACATGCACAGAAAGTAGATTAGAGGTTATCAGAGACTGGAAGATAGGAAGAATAGGAAGTTACTGCTTTTGGTTAGCGATTCTCTTTGGGGTAATGAAAAAGTTTTGGAAAGGGGGTGATAGTTGTACAACATTATAAGTGTAATTAATGCCACTAAATTGTACACTTAAAATGGCTGAAATAATAAACTGTATTGTATGTATATTACCACAGTTTACAAAATTTAATAATGTGATATATCAAAACCCATTGAATTATTCACTTTAAAGGGGTGAATTGTATAGGATGTGAACTGTATCTCAATAAAGTTCGGTTTAAAAAAATAGTAAATGGTCTTTAAGATCCCTCCCAGAGGGCCAGGGATTTAGCTCAGGGGCACAGTGCCTACCTGGCAAGCCTGAGGCCCTGAATTCGATTCCCAGTACCAAAACAACAACAATGCCCCCTCAAAAAAAATCTCTCGTACAATTAAATTCTGTGATTTTTTTTACAGTCTAAAAATGGGTTATATCCAATGTTCAAGGTCTAGCTAACCTGGGTGGAAATTCTCATGGGGGAGGCTGTGATGTCTGGAGACAGTGGGTACCTTCCTCTCAACTTTTCTGTGAACCTATCCTTGTTAGTAGTGAGTATCCCCGCCTGTCAATTTTTCTGTGAACCTAAAATAGCTCTGAAAAAATAAAGTCTTACTTTAGAAAAATTTACTAAGTCTCCAATTGCGTTTTGGGCCCTGGGTTCTTTTTATTGTTTGAACAGAACAGAGCTTAGCACACAGCACTAGATAAGTGTTTATTATGATCATCAGCATCTACTTCAGAAGGACTTGGGGAGGCCACTGCAGAGAAGAGGAACAGAGTCAGAGAGTCAGGGAGAGGGAATGATTTTCTCAACATATCTCAGCCATCATCTACGATAGCTGGAATTTGAATTCAAGTTGCACAGCTCCAGAGCCCAGGCTGGCATTACGTGCTGCCCCCAGAGTGAGTTATGCCAGGAATTGCTGGCAGATGATCTGATCGCTCTTCTGCTTGCTCGGAATGAAATCGTACCATTTCACTCAGTACTCTTTTTCCCAGTCCATTGGACAATTCAGGTCACAGCACCCTGAAAGTGGGAACTCCTATTCAATGTTATTTAGAAGTCAGCTTTATAAAATTATGTTGTGGACAGCTTCAGCTAAAGCTAAGATCCTACTAAGAGAAATTTGATCACTGTACCTTCTTTTGTGAAGTCAAAGCTTCAAGACAGTACTCAAAATTCAATAAATAGGTTTTACCGTACTATGTTGATGAACCAAGCTTTAAAGTGTGGAAGGACAGCAATGAAGAGCAGGTCAAGGACAGATATTTCACAACGGAATTAAAACCTCATCTGTTATTTCTGAGCCATATGACATCTCACATTATATTTAGCAGGAATATATGACAATATTACTTTGATTTTTTGCTGATCCCGCTTAATTTCTGCATCCAGTTGTTTCCTTTTATCATTTTCTTCGCGAAGTCTCTTTTGCAGCTGTACCTTTTGATACTTCAAGTGATCTAAATTTTTCTCTAGTTCATTAGCACATTCCTCCTTTTGGATCGACAGTGATGCCAATTTCTTACTATCCTGTTGCTTCTTCTTTAAGACCTGAGATCACACATAATATTTCAAGATGAAAACATGCATCTCTTACATTCCCCAACAAAATATAATCTTCAGTCAATGAGAAGGGCAGCCATTTCCTCCATTTTCATTTATTTTTGATAGGTTCACCAGCAATTTGATTGATCTCACAAGGGAATATTGTTTTTAGAATACAAAAGCAGTAGATAAAGAGAGAAAAAGAACCGGAGGAGTCATTCTATAAAATTCAATATGGTCAGATTAACATATATATCTAGAAATGGCTTTCTTATACAAAAATCTCTCTGAAATGGAGTATTTCTCACAGTGTAGTTGTCTGTTTGTTTTCCAGTGCTGGGGATTGAACCTAGGACCTCATGCATGCCAGGCAAGTACTCTAACACTAAGTCACACCCCCCAACTCTAGAGTGTAATTTTTAACTATAGCTATTTCTGAAGTTATAGCTAAATTCAGACATTAGGAAATACTCTACAAGTAAGTTCAAAGCCAGCCTGGACTACCTAGTGAGATGCTGTCTCAACAAAACAAAACAAAACAAAACACTAAGGGATATTCAGTTATTAACCTCTCTTAAACCAGTCAGCTACGGTTTCTGAAAACTGTCCAAGTTTCCACTTGTTCAGTGTCAACAAATACTGGTGTTTTATAGGTACTATTTAATTTTCTGTCTCTGAGAAAAGGGTGCTATTTCTGTGGTTATCATTACCCTTATTTCCCTTCATGTAGTTTTTTATGTCAAGCTTAAAGTAATATATTCCATATATGTATGTGGTGCTGGTGATTGAATTCAAGCCCTCACACATGCTAGGCAAGCACTACACCACTGAGATACACATCAACCCAAAATAATATACTTCCTGAATAAAGAACTATGCTATCCAGCCTGGCAAGCGCAAGGTCCTGAGTTCAATTCCTCTTCCAAAAAAAAAAAAAAAAACAAAGATACGCTATCCAGATTATAACATATATAAACCAACCAGCACACTCACTGGAAAGATACTTTGACATTCAATAAAAACTGAATCCCATTCATTCCTCTCCAGACTTGGTGCAAAAATCCTCAAGGATTCCTAAATAAGTAAGAATTTGTCACTTAAGAAAGGAAAACTTTAAAAAAAAAAAAAAAAAAGGAAGACTTGAAAGTTTTCTAGAGTACATTTTTAAGTTACCTTGACTTTGAGTTTTGCAGCATCCATCTTTCTACGGAATTCTTTCTGCAGTTTTATATTCAGAGCAGCATCAAAAACGTCTTTGCTCTCCAGCTCATCCAGCTGCTTCTCTGTCTCAGTTACCTCAACTTTTGCCTGTTCTGCTTCATGCTCCAGTCTTGTTACTTTCAGAGAATAATGTTTGCTTACAGATTTGGCATCATTGCCTTTACCATAACAACAGTGAAAACAATTATAAGTTACGTAAAAATATAGAAATACTCTGCTCTAAAAAATCCAGCTGAGCAGAGTTACTATTTAAGGCATGGCATTAAAACCAGCAGAGCCTGTCCACCCCAAAATGCAGCGTTCCCACCAGGCCTCAATGGCCATGCCCATCTGGCGCAGCTCCATCCTCTCACCCACTTCATCTTTTTGTGTTCCCTATGACATTTGTGATCCCCTGAATGTACAATTGTATTTTCCTGGCATCAAACTCCAGTTAAGCAGGATGTTAGGAGTGACTTTATCCTCTTGGTTAGTATACTCTGGCTTTTCTGCTATGCATAATCTACCTGCTTGAATTAAAAATATTTTTAAATTATTATGAAAAAGTTTAAACATATCAAAAATAAAAAATAATAATGAACCCCCACTGCTGCTCAGATTAAAGAGTTATGAACATGTCATTAATTGCTTCAACAAGCCTTCTTTTGTTTACTTTGCTTAAATATGAAAAAGTAACCCCAGATATTTTATCATCTCATTTTTGCAAACTTCAATAAGCATCCATACAAAATATGGACATAACCAAAAAGTCACTATCACACCTAACAATAAAAATGCCCACTGGTCTGTTTTCAGACCAACTGTCTCAGTATGTCTTTTATAACTGGTTTATTTTAATTGGGATCTAAACAAGGGCCACAATACATCTGGTTATTATGCTCCTTAATCTTTTAATATGGGGCAAGGGATTTAGCTCAGTGGCACAGCGCCTGCCTGGCAAGCGTGAGGTTGTGAGTTCGATTCCTGATACTGGGGGAAAAAAAAAAAAGAATCTTTTAATATGGAGATGGCTCTCTTTTTCATTACATTGGACTTGCTAAAGATGAACTGTTCTAAAATGCTTTTAGGGCCTGGGAAATAGCTCAGTAGCACAGTGTCTGCCTGTAAAGCACAAGGTCCTGAGTTCAAGTCCCAGTACCAAGAAAAAAAAGACTGTCTAAAATGCTTTTAGAGGAATATTTGGAACACACAGAAAATGGAACATACAAATCAGTTTCTTTTCATTCTGAGCCAAGCTACTGACTAAAGGTTTGGGTTTGACTGATTCTGAAACTTCCTCAACTAGACTGGCGAACTCATGATAGTATGAAATGGGAGTCTAGTTTAGGGGATGAATATCACCAGGAATAGTTTATGATACCGTTACAAACTTGTTATACTGCCATGTGGAAAACACTGTGGTTTTTAATAAAAAGAAGTTACTGAACTAAATGCACAGTGAACTATCTTTATCTAAAACAATTAACTATAAAATACATATAACTGGGACTGAAAGTGTAGCCCAGTGGTAAACAGAGCACATGTGAGGTCCTGGGTTCAACTTAAAAAATACATATACTACTATGTGTTTTAACAAATCTTGAATTGTTCATCAATTGTTCAACAGACCAGTAGTTTATGCGCTACAGTGCCAACTACACCATGGTAAAATGCTAAGCAGCCGCTGACTGAAAGACATCCCCTGATTTCGGAAGTACTAGAATTGATGCAGCCAGTATACATGCTCTCTTACTGCTCACTGAAGTGATTGCAATTTGGGAGAAATCTTCAGTAAGCAGACTTTAAGAAGCATGTATGGCTCTCTTCCTAGCTACCCTCTCTGAGAAGCTCCAGGAGAGCTCCAAACCATCCTTGGTTCTAAGCAGGAAGAAAATCGGCTTTGTGTGAGTTCAGGCGATCTCTATTTTAAAGCAACCAGGAAGGGGGCCCCAGGTTACAAATGCATGCTTATTCAGTGAGATCCATGGGTACATGAGCTCCAGTTCTCCAGGCACTGTCCTACAGCTGTGGGATGGAAAAGCCATTTAAACCCCTGTGTCAGGTCCTATGTACTCCTGAAGTGGGGTCAAGTGGCCTCCGATCCTGACCGTGAGGAAGGAGAGTGGTCAGACTCACACATCCGGGACAACTAGAAGTTAGGGTGATGCACAGCACACGCAGAACTAGGAAAGACGAAGGAAGCGCTCTGGGCAGGCAGACCATCAACTAGAAACCAAACTTTTAGAAAGAGGAGGAAGTGGGAGGCAGCTTTCTTCTCACCATAATTGAGGCGATTGAGCGTGATTACAGCCTAGGGCTGGAAGAGAAGCAAAACAGTGTTCTCTTCAGCGCCCCCAAGTGAGACCAGAGAGTTGTTATACTTTCGAGTTGGAGGAAAAGAAATGCTAGTGTCTCTTATTCCTTCAATTCTTTACTGAATTTTGATGTCGTAAAGACTGATTCTTTACTGTATATTGGGAAGATAAAGCCCAAAAAGCCTGAGCTGGCTGCATTACGGCAAACTGATCTAACTAAAGACAGGGAGAGAATATCCCCAATTTGGGAGGACATGAGATGAAGGAGAAAAGCTAAAAGCCTGGCTCATCTAGGAGAGGAAATCCTTCTATCTTTAGAGAAAAAACTATCCACATCTGAAATGTGAATTTTAGCTAGATGTGGTGGCACATGGCAAGCTGAGGCAGGAGGATCATGAATTTAAGGTCAGTTCAGATTCACAGTGAGACCCTGTCTTAAAAAAATAAAAATAAAAGCTTGAAAGTGAACATTAAAATTAACTAAGTTAAAAAAAAAAAAGATAAACTAAGTCAGTGAAAAATAATAATTTAAGGTAAGTTAAAAAAGCATCTTGGATATATTCCTAGACGCCTAGTAGAATGGGTGTTATAAATGGAAAGGAGGAATTAAGTGCCATACGGTTTTAGCACAACACAGTGCTCGCATGGGCTAGAACAATTCGTAAGTTAAATCCCAGCATAACAGAGTTCTTTTGATAACTAATCTCTATGTATTTGCTCTAAAACACAGCTTGTTATAGCTAAGACAAGCTACAGTGGATAATGTTGAGCTTCAAAAACTCAAGTAAATGTCACATCAGAAGAAATTTTAGAAGCTTTTCTTTCTCATATAAGCTGGTTCACAGGACACTGTTACCTGTTTTTATTAGTTCTTTAATCAGCTCTTCCTTCATCTTGATGTTAACTGTAAGTTCATTAATTTTTTGTTTAATTCTACTAAGTATGAGTTCTGAATTCTTTAACTTTTGCAAATTCAACTCTTGACTCTTCCGGAGACATTCAATCTTTAAATCTTTCAAGATAAAATAAAAGCAACAAAGATGAGAAACAAGAATATCTGCTCATAAAATATTCAACAGAAATAGTTTTACTTTATTTTATTTTTTTGCGGTACCGGGGATCAAACTCATGACCTTTCGCTTGTCAGACAGGCGTTTATGCCACTGAGCTACATCCCCAGCCCCCAGAAATAGTTTTAAAAGAAACTACAGAGGTAGAGGAAGGGACAAATAGGAAGGAAAGAGGGAAAAATACACAGCATTTGGGACTCAAGAGTTCTAACTTAGTGTAAATTTTCATTTTCTTAAAAATTTTTGAGATTAAAAAAAGAGCTAGAGCTGGTGACATTCCTATAATCCCAACACAGGGAGGTTGAGGCAGGAGGATTACAATTTTGAGCCCAGTCTGGGCAATGTAGTGATGTAGTGAGAACCTACCTTAAAATAAAAAAATAGAAAGTTCCAGGAGGTAGCTCAGTGTGAAGGCCACAGTTTCAATCCCCAGTAGTGGGAAAAAAAAAAAAAAAATGCACACACACATGCACACGTCTATGCTTCTGTCATACCGCACAGGTTTGTACACAGTGTGTCACTGTCTTCAACTGGCATTTGAGATAAGTACGAAATTTCTAGGTGGATAGAAGTATGAATTTGTTCCTATTGTATTTTATTATGATCAGAGAATGCCATCTGTATCTTGCTAATCCATGTTCCAGCACTGTTAGTTACCATCCTGCACTCGACAACAGATCAGCTGTGTCAATAAGCACACTTTTTCTTAAGCTAACTTTTTAAGAAAACTTTTTTTTATATATAGCAAGGTATTCTCAATGAAGGAATGAGTGCAACCATTTATATTCTGGCGTAAGTTTCTTTCCTGGTTGCAGACCACATACAAATGGCTCAAGGATGGCTACTCAAACAGCACTTATCTTTACTTTCTCTACACTGTTACAATTACTTCACTTTTACTTATAGTGGGGGCTGGGGCATAGCTCAATGGTAGAGTGCCTGCTTAGTATGCATGAGGCCATTGGTTCAGTCCCCAGCACTCACTCTCCCACCAAACAATACTCATGGTCCAGTTTGGGTAAGTATTATATGGATAGGCTTTTTAAATGATGCTATTTTCATTGTTATATTCTCTATATCCTTACTTTTCATGTACTGACCATTCACTGACCAAGAGAGATAAGCTAACATACTATTGTATTATATCTTCTGCAACATAAACGCTTTTAATGCTATTATTTGATGCATAAAAATTCTCATCAATTTTGTTCTAAAACATGGCAAGCACATAGAAGAAAAATGAGGCTGTAATGCAAAATAGATCATAATGGTAGGAGTACCAGAACAGAAGTAAGCAGGTACCCAGCAGATGACACACAATGGACTATAAAGTAATCAAGGACACAAACCATATCAGATCAGGTCTGAATATAAAAATGCTCATTCTAGCCAGGACTGATTTGTAGAAAAACTTTTCTTTTAACTAAGGAATAAAAGAATGAAAAACTAGAGGTACAAGAGAAAACACACAGGAAGTCATACAAAGCAAGAAAGCACTCCTACCAAGTTCAGGGTTTAAGAATTCCTAGATGCTTCTTAAATTATCTACTGAAAAAAGTTTTAAAAAGTGTGTTATATCCATTAAATCTAAATTACTTGAGAAAGTCCACATACCTTCATTCTCCATATTCGACTTTTGTGTTTCATCCTGAGTACCATTCAACTCAACAAGAGAACCAACAGAATCTGGTTTTTTACTCCATGAGTGACTTCTACATTATAAAAAAAAGTAAGGATCGAAGTCATTTGTTTGTTCATGTTTCCAAATCTACATTCAAATTTATTTCTTTAAAAATCTTAATATTGGGGCTGGGGATTTAGCTCAGCAGCACAGCGCCTGCCTGGCAAGAGCAAGGTCGTGAGTTCCATTCCTGGTACCGGAAAAAAATCCAAATAAATAAAAATGTTAATATTAATATACCTAAGACTTCTCCTTCTAACAAGAAAGACTTTTTTTTTTTTTTTTTTTGTAGTTCCAAGGATTGAACCCAGGGCCCCACTTATGCTAGGCCAGTGCCCTACCACTGGGCAGTGCCCCTGCCATCCCCCTTGTCCCTTCTTAAAGATAAGTTTCTTGTTAACACTTTTTTTTTCATTTTTCTGGGTAACTGCAGGTGAATTTGTGCATATACCATCCAAAAAATTAGGGCCTCAAATAGTTGTTTACTCAAGTTTCTGGACAGATGGTCCCAAACAGCTGTTTACCTCGAAATGCACTACGGCTGTTTCAAAAAAGTAAACGTCCTTTTTCCAGCTGTAAAGGATTAGGGATCATAATGAGCATTAGCAAGGTAGGAATGGAGTGAGCACCTTTACAGCAGTTCTGGTTGACAATTTTGTGCTAGGTATAGCACTTTAGAAATCAAGGTGCAGATGTGAGGATTTCAGAAAACAAGTTGACACCAAATAAATTTTAGTAATGTTCTTTGGCTTGTTGAATTGGGACTTGCAAGGCATTGCAGAAATGAATGAAGATGAGGGGCTGGGGATTTAGCTCAGCGGCAAAGCCCCTGCCTGGCAAGCACAAGGTTGTGAGTTTGATTCCTGGTACCAGAAGAAAAACAAAAAAACAAAAAACAAACAAACAAAAAAGAATGAAGATGGCACCTGGGTTCCTGGCCCCCTCATTCACACTGTCACCCCGAGTACCTGCAGGCGCAGCGAGGCACCAGCGCAGCACGGGGGAGTTAGGGGCCACACCTTTGCCCTGGGCGTGAACTCCATTGGCCTTCAGTTCTCTGGGGGTTGCTTTTGTCTACACTCCATACAAAAGATAGATTTTACTTGTAAAGCACTTTGGTGAAAATTGTATGGAAAGTGCTTTGGTATTTGCCCCATCAAAGAATATGTGGCATTTTAAAACAATTATTAATATTTTAATGGCTTTTAATTCATTCTTAAATTTGTCACTTTTTACTGTTCTTGAAGACCAAACTACAAATACATTGCCAGAGATGATTTTCTACTGTGCTATAGACTTAATTGACAAAACAGTCAGAATTCGTAGCCAACAGTCTTATCTGAACTTTAAGTCAAAATGTGTAATAAGAAAGAAATTCTGTTGTCTTTACCATCAGCGTGCACCAGCATGGTAATAATTTATAAAAGGCAAATATGATTGAACAACAGTTTGAAAAGCTTTAAAGGGGTCTGTTACATATGTGGCACAGATACAGCTCATGCGCATAAATCTAGGTCTTGTGTCCTAGGCTTCATGCCTGATGCCACCAGAAATGTCACAAATGGTGTATTAACACACTTTTGGAGCGATATGATCCCTGAGGACTGCACCACAAACACAGCCTTTACATTGTAACTCTGTGTCTTACTTGTTTCCCTTGTGGTTGGGGATAAATTTGATGTTTTTGTCTAAATAGTCACTATTCATCTTAACTTATGGTTGTTATATAATTACCTGCTGTATATTGACCAGTGCAATAAAATAGGATTGTGTAAAAAAATGTTAACATTAAAAAATTATAATGCTAAAAAATTAATTACATAAAAAGCAGACTTTTATTAATATTCCTCAAAATAAAAGGAGCCTCCTCCCAATGTTGGATGTATCCTCCCAATGTGGAAAATGTATCATGTTTGCTGCTACTGAGGCAGCAGAATCAGGAAACTCAAAAAATCCCCTTGGAAAATTAGAATCTGGTAACTACAAAAGATCAGAAAGCACAATTGCTTCTCATTTGTAAGACTGATGACATGTTCAAATACTACTTTCATAACACATTAGCTGATATACATTTAGGAAGAACTACCCACTTTTTTTTAACTAGAAAAGATTTACTTCAATGAAAAGAAAACTCTATCTTCTGTATTTATTGCATCATTCAATTATAATAATGTTTATTAAATGACGCTATATTTAACATACCTAATTCTAGGTGTCCCTTGATTTGATTCTTCGTCATCACTTTTATCAGAAAATTGGCAGTGGAGAACTTCATCTTGTTCTTCTATGTGACCCAACAGCATCTGACTTCGTGTTCGAAATCCAGCAAATACTTGATCCAGAGAGTATACAGGAGGACTTGAGTAGACCTTGCAAGTGATTCCCCCACCCAACAAGATAAGTGATTTTTATTTTATTTTTAATTTTTTTCTTGTTTTGATTTTGTAAGACAGGGTCTCACTGTGTAGTTTAGGCTGGCTTTGAACTCACTGTATAGCTCAGGCTGGCCTTGAACCTGTAGCAATTCTCCTGCCTCAGCCTCCTGAGAAAAATTTTCTACCATTCTGTGAGCTATCTATTCATTCTGTTGGTTGTTGCTGTGCTGTGCAGAAACTTTTTAATGTAGTGTCACTAACTGATCCCTGCTCTTATTTCCTGTGCTATTGGTGTGGGATTATAGGCATGCACCACCACACCCAGAGATAAGTGATTTGTAAAATGTCTATTATTTTCCTATTACTCAAAATATTTTAAGGAGGTTATTAGGTGCTCTTAGAATGGCCAATCACTGAAAATATCCCTCCCATCAAAAAGTCAAAATTAATTTCACCATACTATTGTGCTTCATGGACACATACTTCTTTCAGAAATGATACAGCTTTTCTATCTTCAATGATAGCTTGACAGAAAATAGTATTTAAAAACCATAGGATACAAAATCAACATTAAAAAATTAATAGCTTTTCTATATACCAATAATGAACTAGCTAAGAAAGAAATCAGGAAACCAATTCCATTAATAATAGCTTCAAAAAATACCTAGAGATCAATCTAACCAAGGAGGTGAAGGACATCTATAATGAAGAGTACAAAACACTGAAGAAAGAAACTGAAGTGGAGACTAGATGTAAGACAGCCTATGTTCATGGAGCAGCAAAATAGTGCTAAAATGGCCGTATTACTAAAAGCAATCTACAGATTCAATGCCATTCTTTTTTTTTTTTTTTTTTTTTTTTTTTCTCCGGTACCAGGAACCGAACTCAC